TAAATTCTATAATATTCTAAGATTTCTTTTCTCATTTTATAATTTCTAAAAAAAATATTTTCAACTTTTTCAGATTTATAAAATTTTATCAGAAGTTATAGAATAAAAAAACTTTGAAATCTTATAATATTTTAAATTCACTTATATGAAGAATTTTAGAAAAGATATGTAGACTTTCAACAATTTTTACTAGTAATATGAAACATGGGCTATTCGAGCTGGGTATCTTTTGCTAATAACAAACAAAATCAATAACTAAAATCAAAAGTATAATTATTGAATTTTCACTAAAATGTTCTAAAAGTAGCGTAAACAGTTCTTGAATTTTTAATTTGTCCGCAGGCGATATGTACAGAGGCGAGGAAGGTGAAGAGGAACCAGAATGGGTAAAAAACGAAAAAGAACAGTTCTCCTTGTATAGAGACAAAAATGGGGATGGATTCTTGAACGCTGACGAAGTAATTAATCATTCTTTATATCATTTAATTGTTGAATAAAAATGTATACTAAAAATATTGAAAAGGATTACATTTTTGATAAATTAATTCGATAAAACTCTGATAAAGTCCGAATTTCAATCTAAAACAGGTAAAAACGTGGATTATTCCTGCGGAATTTGATCACGCTGAGGCGGAGTCAAGGCACTTGATCTATGAAGCGGACACAGATGCGGATCACAAACTAACGAAAAGCGAGATTTTGGAGAAATATGACATCTTTGTCGGATCACAGGCGACGGACTTCGGCGAGGCATTAGCGAGGCATGATGAATTTTAATGAGACGTAATCTCATAAGAAAGAAATCACTAACGAACAAATTACTTATAATACTGAAATCTACTTAAGATATAGTTTATCTAAGAAGAAGAATACCTATTTACTGTAATAAATAGATTTTATATATCGTGGTATTTACATAATTGATATCGTAGAGAGAAATGCATAAAATATGCTATATCTGCCAAAAATTGTAAATCTCGATTAGCTGTTGTTATAATAAATTTTTTATATTGTCATTGTATTAACTCTTCATTGTTTTCTCCATATACTTTGAGAAGCATTAACTCTTCTTATTGTTAGTCGCGTCAATCTAGTATATAAATAAGCACAAGTCAATTTTGACTAAATCCGTTCGAGAGAGAAGCGAAATGTAAAGAATATTAATAGCCAAAACAGAAGCTTACAAAGCGCAAATAATTCACAAAAAGCAAAGTTTTTACAAAACATTTTAAACATCAATACGGTTAATTATTTTTTATCATTCATTTTTACGTTCCCATGTTATCATGCTGTACATTGATAACGATTGTCATATCTAGGACACTGGCATTGTATGATCATGATCGATTTTATCAGATAAGTATCTCCAATATCCCAGCAACGTGAATAATATTCGCGATATCGTTGTGTGAATTAACTCTTAAATATGTAAAAATGGAAGAGGTGTATTTGGTTGTGCTTTTAACGATTTGCACATACGTATTAGGTAAGTATATTTATTTCTTTTTACAATATTATACGCCTCGATAATGTCTTATAAATGTCGCATGCTAAGAATACAAGTACCAAATAACAGCGCGTAGCTTTCCAGGCCGTTAATATTAGCTATATATACTTTCATTTAAGTTGAAGTAACCGATCAAAAATGTTTAAACTATCACTAGTTTTCGTTCGATATTCCGGTATAAGAATAGATCGCAAAAAACACCTATTCGCGTACATACATGCACATATAGAACATTAACACAGTTTGCATTGTACAACTGTTGTGTGTATATATATATGTATATAATTACGTACACATAGCATGTAAATTATATATAAAAATACAGAGGATAGATTTGACTTAGTCTGTATCACATTATGAATGAGAGAGATGATTCTTCGAGCTAGAATACATATATGAAGAAATCATAACACTTAATAAATAAATAAATAAAAAATATATATATATAAAGAAATGATGCTACAAAGCTACTTGATAATCTGATTTAATTTACATTCGGTTGATTTCATTTTGTTTCAATCGACGCTTCACAGTTTATCAACTGCTTTTAATATATATCTTCGTAGAATTTTTTACTTTTGTATTTCATATAGCGATCGAAGGACCACATTGTTTTCACTTCACGTGGCCAGGCCCTTCTCATGCAGAAGTTAACAAATTAGACTGTGAGGAACATAATGAGAATAATCCATTTACTCCTTGTATAGAGCCATTATTTTTTTGTAAGTGTATAACGTTCGTATTTATTTTCATAAGTTTGATTATTAAACAAGATTTGATCATATTTTTAGATGATAAAAAGCCAAATGTAACTAAACTATGGGATGATATTAAAGATAAAAACAATAATACAAAATACATACAACGAATGCAACCTGGTTACGTTTGCGTAAGCTATACATTTATGTACAATGGCGCAGGTAAATATACTTCATAATGACAACATAGAATTGATTTATCAGAACATTATTTATATAAATATAAATATAAACATAAATGTTATTTGCAGTTATGAACATCAGTTATTTCCATGGAAAAGTCACAGAAGATCAAGTTACACCGATCATATCAGGCTGTTATCTCAAATACGTATGTATAATAAACACTTCATAATTAATTTCGTTTTTCTTTACAATTATATTCAGTGTGAGCATTTGATGATAAAGTATAAGATATTATAATGATATTTTTTTAAATATGCTTTTAGACTGAAGGATATACTATCGAAGTTTGTGCCTGTAAATCTAAAAATGGCAATGTTATGCCCTGCAACTCAACAATAAGAAATAGATATTCAACACTAATTATTTTTGCAGTTGTAGTCATTTCGCTGTTTATGTATAAAATTTTCGATATTCCTTAATATTTTCGGCTTAATTTATTCCTTTTATATGAATAAAATTGTACAAATTATATTATTATATTTAATATATTTATTACAATTTATGTGCAACATTATCAATCAAGCGTATATATCTTTTTACAATTTTGTAGAACGCGCATGTATATTTAAATTATATACAGAGAAAAAAAAATCATGTAATATATAATGTAATTAAAAAATAAATATTCATATATATGGAATTATGAGGAAAAGATAAACTCTGAAATAACAATAACATATATAACAAAATTGACTAAAAATAATTCAATGTTATATTCAATTAAAATATAATACGTTTCTTCAGAAGAGAAATATTTCGTTTCACATATTCAAAGAATACTTGGACCTTAATATATACTACGTATGGAAGTATTACAAATTAGATTTTCGTACATCATCTTACATTTCAAAGAAATATCCATTATAATAAAGGATACGATAAAGTTACGTATGGCATTTCTAACTGTGTAAAAAATTAGGACTTATTCGCACATTTGAAGCAACGAATTAATTGTAACGTCTTTCTTGCCGTGATTGGCATCATATACCGATTTGATGACTTCCCTGTCAACATTCGGAAACATTTCTGCGATCTGTAAAATGTAAGCGTTACAATTATGTGTATAAAACAAAAAAAAAACATTAAACAAAATTAGAGTAGACGAAGCATATACTAAGTACCTGTTTCAACTCGACCTCAGCATTTGGCAAAGAACTTGGTGTAACCGTTGGTGTAACAATAGGCGGAGGTGCTGTATAAACATTGACCGGAGCGTATGGCATGCCGAACATAGTTGCAGAAGGAACCATCATTACCGAAGAACCCATGTATGGATGGTTAGTCTATTGCAAATATGTTCAAATGAAATAAAAAGATAAAACTTGAAAATAACCCTGATAAAAATTTATCTCAGAATTTTTCATATAATTTTTCAGAATTTCTAAATAATTTTATAATTTTCTCACATTTTTTATATGAATTAGAACACTTCTCAGAAAATCTAAATCTTTTCTCAGAATTTTTCATATATGTTAATTATAAAATATCATACAATTTTTAAGATATTTTGTAACTGTAATTTCTGATGAAATGTTACAAAATCTAAAAAATTTAAAAATATTTTTTTTTTAATCATGGGATAAAAAATCTCAGAATATTTTCAGAATTCACATGTATGAAAAATTCTGAGAGAAGATGTAAACTTTTCAAATATTTCTGAGTATTTCTGAATAATGTTCCAATTTGTATAAAAAATATAAGAAAAATTTTCAATAGAGAACACTCGAAAATAATATTACAAGTTATGCGCAATTGCATTTTGAATTTTAATGACTCTATTTATTTTATAATCATTTACTTGATATTATAAATACTGTATAACTTAGTGATAAATGACAAATATGTAACATATGCGAAAATAGTATAATCATTATTTTTACCGTGTAACTGAAAACTAAATTGATCATGCCCTCCTGATTATCTCCTTGCTTCCCACTGAGCATATACCAATCTTCGTGTGTTTCTCCCTTCTGAATGACCTGTGGTGGAATCTCTATATGACCCCACGCAATCAATTCATCCATCACGAAGGAACATTCATCGTAGATTTCTATATATATCTGGGTAACTCCAGATGGAAGATTACTGTAATAAAATCAATGTTGTAACATACATAGCACATTCATGCATGTGAGTAAACAAAGTATGCTTTCTCACCAGTGGATTACTTTGTTCCAATGTGGATTTTTTCCACCATTTGAATCTGTATGTGTCTCAAAAACCGAGTGTCCCACTCGTATCCTCGCGTAAGGATCCATCCTTGTCATTCCATAATTTTTCACTAATTTGGCCTGGAAAAAGAGATTTCTTATAACGCGAGATAGTACAAATTGTTAAGTTGTTGGTTTAATTTATTACAATATTTGAAATGTTTAATTTATAACAATATTAGAAATGTCAATCATACAAGAATACATGAGAATTACCTGAGAAATTGTTATGCTAAGTCTACCAATTCGTGGATCATGAGCCACTGACATACTCCGCATCTGTTGATGTAGGGCTAGGGCAGCTTGCTGATCTGCTGCCTCCTGCTGCAACTGTGCGTTACGCTCTTCTATTCTCAAGAAATTGTCTGGCAGTGGTCCCACAAAAACCTGAATATATTGGATTAGGATTCATTAATTTGACAACCTTTAATATAGCATCGTTAGATACATTAAATCACGTTGCTTTTTATATTTTTTGCTTTTAGAAATTTTCTCTTTTCAACATCTGAATATATATTTATTATTATCTCGTTTTAAATGCAAATATGTTTGGAAATTTCAAGCAATATGAATATACCTAATGTTATACATTTTAAATGAAATTCACACAAGAGAAAGGTTTCTGCTAGGTTGACTCATAGCAAAAATTATTAAGCATGTAAATTAGATGCTAAAATATCAACACATTGAGATGTATTCTGCTTTATTTACTGCGCAGGAAAATGAAATGCGGATTTATTTTGTTTGCCTAGATATATTCAAGAATGCAAGCAGCATCGTGAAATACTCATAAGGATTCCTCAATTATTTCCGTCTAACAAGTGACACAGCCTGTGACGTACATACCCGTTTTTTCCACTCCTCGTGTTGAGGCCTATCTGTGTCCATGGTGGAAGAAATTTAAAAAAAAAAAAGGATATTATATATATCCTCTAGAGGAAAGAATATCTCGATCGCGATCGACGCATACAGTTAAAATGCTTCCAAAGTCTATGCTTCGAAACTTGTCAGATACATCAAATCACACGAGCGTACATTGCACCGACTGTTTGCGACTGTTTACCGATCGACTGCTGATGCGCACGGAAGGAAACGAGATGCGATTGGTCATTGCTCGTGTCACAATTTTTATTTGAACTTCTTGCACCGTTCATCTTTCTTCCTTTTCTTTCAAACGTGAAGAGAAAAAGAGAAAAGATAAACGGTGCAAGAGATCAGTTCTCTTTAACTAAAATTCTTACATGGTTCATGTTTCTTCCTTTTCTCTCCACGTTGGAGAAAAAAAGAGAAAAGACAAATCGTGCAACAAGTTCAGTTATTAAAAAGAATAGGCCTATGAAGTTCAACAGAAAAGAACAGACCAATGCACTTGAGCAATAGTAAATCAGCCAATCAAATTCCTTTCCAGAATGTGTCGCAAAATATGAAATATATAAATAAATTAGTATATATTTTGACACAATTTAAATATTTTATTTAATAAATTAAATTGTTATGTTTACGCGGTCAATAGACATTATCGATAGAATTTACATATAATTTTCTTATTTATCCACAAGAAGGCATCTCATGTTATCTTTTTTATATATTAAAATAAAATCATAGTCTATACTAGCGATTTACACTTGTAATGTCGACATTTATTTAAACAAAGTTTTAAGTCTGATATAATCATCTCTAATATTACTACTTTTATTAAGTTAGTAAATCAATTCTGTTTTATCTCGATAATTTAATGGCTCAAATTTTTCCAATTTTCTTGTAAGTCAGTAATTAAAAGAATAAGAGTTAAGGAAATCGATTTATCACATAAGAATTTACAATGTATTTCAATATTTTTCAATTGATAAGATTTTCACAGCAAAGTATACTTTAATTATTAATGTAATTTTATTTTTTACATAAATAAAGTAGCTTTGAAGTAATAGACGAAATACATTGCAATATCAAAAGCAATTAGATCTTATATTTTAATAAAATTAGAATGAATGAACTGGTTTATCATCTCTATATATATTTTGTTATATATTTTTTATATATAATACATATATTTAATATACATATTTACTATATAGTGAATATATGTATACATTTACATATTTATGTACTTATACATTTACGTACCTAAATTTTTAAATAAAGATAGGATTTCACATGCTATATTTAATACTAAAAGAAATTTTTCATTTTTTAATTAAAAATTATTAAATACGATATAACAATATTACATTACAATGATATCAATAAATGTATAGAATAAAATAATACAATTTCGAACAAAATAAGATTTAAATGTAATTTTCGAGTTTAGTAGCGTGATCTCTTATAACGGAAAAAATATTTTATAGCGATTTCTTAGATCGTCTACAAAAATATAGAGCATGGACTGCGCCATTCATATCTAAACAGTATATAAAATGCGGTCCATCTCTTAAACCGCTTCTAGTTTCAATTAAAAATTTTTTTGTGATAAATACATTTTTTTATGATCTTTAGTGATTTTTTATGATTTTTATGATTTTTAGTATGATCAATTTAAAAAATTTGATTTTATAGTAATGACTTTTTATTATAGGAACACTTGAAAGTGGAATTGGAGAAACTTATTTAAATAAGATTTAATCAAATTTTTCTATGATGCACAGTTTTCTTTCAGTTCTTATAAACGCTGTGAGAGAAAATCTATAGTTTCTCGCTGATAAAAGTTGTTTGGAAAATTTGAAGATTGAAAGAGCGCTTACCATTGAAAAAGAAGGGTAAATATAATTTCTATTTAGTCTATCTAATCTCTACTAGTGTGTATATGACTGTGTTTTGCATGTTTTTTAACTAACTATTATTAGCTTTCTGTTTACTTGTCTCGAAATATTTATTCCTAACAAATAAATCCGTACAGAAAAAAAATTTACAAATTTTTCTATTATCTTTCAACTTCATATCATAAGAACATAGATAGATATATGCACAAATACAGTTTGTTATAAAAATCTCTCCCATTTTAAGTAATTTCACTTTCTTATTCGCAACTATTGTACCCATTATATCACTTTAATTATTCTGAGCTTGTGGCTTTGACCATTCCACGCTCAGAATTAGATGATCATAACCGTAACCATCCAGGGTGGCAATCGCTCTCGCTGCATCGACCCTGTGCTTGAAATGTACGTATGCAAAACCCTTGCACAGATTAGAAAGCTTCTCTTTGGCGAGAAACTGCTTTACTACGGAACCGAATGGTTTCACAAGCTCATCCAAATCTGCATCAGTGGTGCTTTGAGAGAGATTGGAAATACGTATAGCAGTCGTGTCGTCACGTCTCTGCATCTGCATCGAGTCACCGCGTTTGTTGCCGCCATCGCGCATACCGGGTGGCACGTACTTGCCACCCTGTGGTTTAAGTTCAGCTATTGCACCAGGTACTCCAGTATTAACGAGAGGTTTTTTGTCGTCTGGTACTTTTCCTAAAATATAGAATTTTAGCAATTATAATGGTACAAAAATAATATATATTTAATATATTCATTTATATAACTAAAATTTAAATTATTTATATAATTAAAATTTAAATAAAATTTTTATTTATATTTTAATAATCGTAAACTAGATTGTTGTAGCATTAATATTATTTCAGCCAGAGTTTAAACTAATATTTTTCATATAAGATATTATGAAATTTTATTTCGTATTTGTATCAATTGACTTCTGATAATAAACCTACCACCAGCAAGAACAGTGTCTTTGTATGGACACTTAGACGTCCAGTGATCGCCATTACAGTTACGGCACTTGACAACTCCCTTGTCGCCCATGCTTTTCAATTTGTCCAGCGAATCTTCCTCTACTTTGTTCTCTTCCTCTTTACTGGATATAAATTGCATAAAAACGTCCTCACCACCGACAGTGGTAGCTGGATTAGGTCCCGGTCTATCGTCAACAGAATCGCCGAACTTTGCCCAATTCTTACGCGCCGCAATCGTTTTCGACACTATACGTCGTTCTATCTTATAAGCACGGACAACTTTGACTTTTTTATTATCTTGATTGTATTTGTATTCTGTGAAAATTTTTAAACCATTCTCATAGACTTCTGAAGGCGGAGGTAATGCTCCTCCTTCTTCTTCAACTTCATCAGCCCAGCTAGACTTGACTTCATTTTGTGCAACTGGCATCTCTGCAAGTTGTATAACAATATTATGGAACATTTAAATATATATAAACACTAGTTTATGAAAGTATGTACACAGTATGTATAAACATTATGTTTCATAATATTAAGACAATTTATTCATAAAAATATTATACTTAAATATATTTTATTCTGTTTATTTATTATATTTGTAAAATTATAAAGTTTTTAAAATCCCTATTTCAAATATTTATAATTCCTAATTATACTTGTTTAATTCAAAATAGAAATATTATAATTTTATGTAATATGAAAAGATTTGAAAAATTAAAATACACATAACTATAAAATATACAAAATATAAATTTTATATATACATTCATATATACATTTATTGTGTGTGTGTGTGTGTGTGTGTGTGTGTGTGTGTGTGTGTGTGTGTAAATGTTAATGTATAATTTGTAAATTTTATAGTTAGTGTATTTTAATTTTTCAAATTATAATAAAATCAAGTACAATATATGAAATTATAAATAAAATTGTAAAATCTGATAGTAAGTTATAAATTGTTTTTAAAAGTAGAATAAATCTTAAAAATAAATGTTCAAGTTTGAAATTGGCCTTTTTTTTGGAAGATCAATTTTTTTTACAGACTCAAGAAAAAATGTTATATAAATGGACATATTTTATATATAATTGTATATAAAATAATATGTTAATTTTTTATATAATTATATATAATTTTATGTAATTACATATAATTATATACGTAACATTTGTTTCCCAGAACATTTTTTTATTCTTCCCAAGTTAATTAAAATTATAATTTAATAGAGAGATTAATTAAAAAACTTAACAAAATTCTCTAAATTTAACAATTCAGAAAATTCAAAGAATTAATAAAAACATTTTCATTATTAAATGTGTGATTGTATTAATATTCTTATATGACAGAAAAATTGCAATCAGAGCTGTTTACAAAAGATCTGTTTTCTGTAGCTAAAGTATATACTTTTGAGACTTAAAATGAGGTAGATATATGATTTTAAAATGTAAACCTAACCTATGCTATAAGATTCCGAGAAAATTGTACATTCACTTTATTTATTTGTCACTAATTTTCCTTAAGTGTGAGCCCGGTTAAATCGTCAAAAAGAATTGAAATAAAAAAGACACATATTATACTATAACTAGCACAATTAATTGCATATAAATTCGCATATAATACAACCAATTGCATATAAATTCGATGTGTTCGAAAAATACAAAGAGAAAGAAAATGCCGCATTAAAAGAAACAAAAAAAGAAACTCGTTTATCTTACCGTAGAAATTCGACAACTGGCAGCTAGACTGACGATCAGATCAGAGCACAGATCACACAATAAAACGTTCAAATAATTTACAATACTAAATATACACTTGGAAATCCGGAAAATCAAAATCAATCAAAATGGAGGAATCCGTCATGGAACGTGTTCCAGTTCCACTTGACACTCAAAACTCAAAATCGTTTCATCCTTGTTGTTTATTAAATGTTAAACAAGGATAAATAATGTTCGCGAGTGTGTGAACGCCGAATGGAATACACCTCTAATGTAAGAATATATTTACACCATGAAATATTATAAAAATATTTATTACAATACGAATATTTTACAATATTTATATTATGAAATCCTTTGCCTTCACTAATTTTTTCCTTCTTCAATCATTCCATTGTCACGTTCAAAACCCATCTAGTTATTTCGTACGTTTGTGACTAAATACCTAATAATAAGTATTGTCGATAATGCAGTATTCTGTACTCTATTACGTTTGTTTACGTCGATTAAGTTTATGTCATTTTCCTTGTCATCGTCGTGATAGATTTCCAAAAAATGGAATTTCATTTGTATAAACAGTAAATAATTTTTCGACATGCATCATGACATAACACGCCTGTCAAATCGCTATGAATAAAACATCAAATGTGCAGATACGCACGTACTTTCGGCTGACATAATTTTTAGTTTAAAAAAATGGCCCATGTCAATCAAGGTCAAGGAATCAGGGAGGCTGTGGACTTTTTAACGAAGTTTCATAATATTTCGAATAAACTGAAAAAGTAAGCCCTTAAAGCACTTTTTGTAATTGAAAGGTTCTATCAATGATGGTTTTCTGTCTTACGTTTTGATTTTTTAGACGATTTCTGAGGAAGCCGAACGTCGCAGAGGCATGCGATCAATTTAGTAAGTGTGTAATTTAATATATAATTAAATAAAAATTTAACATACATCTCTCAGAAGTCTCCCTACTGAAAAAAATCACGTCATACAGATGCATGATAAAATTATGTAATTAAAACATGTAAATCATGTAACGGTTTATTCCAAATCAGTTAAAATTATGTATTTTGAAAAGTCGCATGATGATATTTCTTTTTTCTTCTTTTTCTATTATTCAATTCTTTAAAATTTGATGATTATAAATGCCATGATGGATGAAATTATTTCTAATATCACGTGATTTTTCAAATTACATCGTTATAAAAAAATCATATGATTTGGAATAATCACATGTTTTAATTACATGATTTCATTATGTAACATTGCGATATAATTTTTTTAGTAGGACTGACTGACCAATTTTGTTTTTAAGTTTTTTTTTATTTTAATATTAGAGATATAATTATATATTTGTTTTTCTTTGCTCTATTTTTCATTTTATGGGATTGATAAATTTGACTTTTGAAAGGCTCGTATAATTATATGTAATGTAAAAATAATTTAATTCTGACTATTAAGAAAAGAAAACTATTAAATAGAATTGCTTAATTTTTTTTAGGTGCCTTAGCTACTGAATGTGAACAGAAGGAATTGTGGCAATATGCAGGCTTATGTTGGTTGGCAGCTGCTAGATGCCAAGGCACATTAGAAAATACCTCCTCGGAAATAAATCTTCTAGTAAAAGCGGGAAGGCAATTCCTTACAGCTGAGAAAAAAAATAACGACATAGAATGTCCCTCCATAGGCCAAGAGAACATACAGGTTTCTTATGCGATATGAATTTGCAATAAAAAAGAAAATAAAAGGAAAGGACTAAATATAATTCACATATGTTTCAGGCAGCTGTGAGTTGCTTCGGCCATTCAATGGCTAGATGTAGCAATCAACCAGGATTCAATACAATTTCTGCTGGTTTATCAGTTGAATTAGCATTAGCGTTGGGTCCAGGTCCTGCTGGTATCCAACAGTTGCGCAAAGCAATTGATATCTTTCCTACGTCAAAAGCTATCAATACGTTAGTGTCTTTTCATATAAGACAGGGTCAGTATTTGATCCGTTTTTATCTGTAATTTCATGAATAATCTCATGAATAATTAATATTTTACAATTATTTAATAGTGTTTCATATAATTTTATTCTCACAGGAGATTATGTAGCTGCGCTACAGATACTCAATGAATTTGTAGAATTTGTAGAAGCTTGTGTTGTGGCTGGTGCCAGAGGAAACTATAATGCTATCCTACATAGGTATTATCTTCTGAAGATATTGTAATAATAAATTGGGTGCTCATTTTTCATGTAGTGTTTACAGCGAATTCTGATTTATTTTAAAAAGTCAATTGTATTAGCTATGCAAAAAATTAATATTCTAAAAAAATCTACAAAGATGAATGAATGAAACAAAGACAATCAGTTATCAATTTATAAATAGAAAATTCTAAAGAAAGCTTTATTCTGTGATTAGTTTTATAATTATAATTATTCATAAAATTTGTTACTGTGTATTAAATTACAATATTATATTACACTTAATAATTAAAATTACATATAATAAAATTAATAACTAGGTGCGAAGTGACGCGAGTACTTTTACTGCTCATTCTTCAGCCGTCACCCCAAAGATTGACACCATCGCTTGCTCAGGTCCTCGAAAAGTATGCTTGGGCAGAAGAAAATGTAAACAACGGTACATATCAGGCTTCCAATTGTATAGAAATATTTAGTTTTTCCGTAATCATTCAAAATTATTAGATCAATTGCTTTTTACAGGTCTTAATATGAGCGAGGATGAATTATTATTGCTACAATCCTTGGTATTAGCGTGCCAGTCTCATGATCATCAAGCAGTCTTGGAACTCGAAAGCGAATTATATCCTTACTTTGATACAGAGCAAAAGGAATTGTTGCATAAATTGATACAAGTAGTATCAACGCAGTAAATATAAAATAATGCTACGAATTATGCGCACAATATTTTTCTCCTGATTATCATTTACCAGGGACATTTTTCACGACTTTATGTCGCGTCGCGTGATCCACCGAAATCGAAAACCAGGGCACATTCCTTGAGGGACGAATAAGGGATGCCCTTCGGCCAGTTGTTTTTCTCTCATTTCGTGCGATTACGTTATTAGTCGCCTCGAAACAGGTTCCTACGGTTAACGGCTAAACTGTTTCTCAATCGAGACGCCAAAGATGAGCAACGTGCTTTTATTAATTCAGTACGATTGTGTTGTAAGCGATGCAGTCGACGAAAGACAGTAGTGAGTTTGTCTCGCTTTTCGCGTTGATCTCAATCGTGGTAGCAAGAGTGCGACATGAGATGTGAAAGGAGAAGGAGGAGGAGAAGGAACTCTTTAGATGAGGATCGTAGAACGGGCGGTTGGAGTAGAACAAGACGAGGCTTGCAGGAAGGGCACAGTGTGCCGATATGGCATCGTGAAGGAGGGGATGTCTCGCGCGTCCCACGATACAGTACCTTCGCTCTTCTGCAGTTACTATTCAAGGCAGAGTCGCAGTTAGTGTCAGTCATCGCGCGAAAGTGCCTCGCAGTCCTTCGGATCGAAATTGATTGCGTCCTTCATTGAATTCTATCTAGCACTTAGTCTTAATCTAAGGTAACGATCTCTTCATTCCTCCATACGATATTAAGTCTTGTAACAAAAGCGAATTACATATATCGCAATTAAAAATTCTTTGGGATGATAAAGAATCCCAACACAATGCGTCAGCTAAGTCAGCTTTATTCTAATTCTAAACTAGAATGACAGGAAATCTCTTCGAGCGAGAACAATCTCTCGCAATCTGATGAGAAAAATCGGCTCTCAAGGACGCCGATTAATTTCTCTGAAAGGCCAAGGTTCGTAGAAAGAGATTCTTAAGTATTCAACTCGCGTTGCAAGTACACGTTCAATCGGTGATGATTAATGAGACATGAGTAAATTAAGATATCTTGGCTTATTTACGATCAATTTCCCTTGAAAAATTACCTATAAATTTATTTAAATATAGTAGGCCTTACAATCTATATAAAAAAAAACACTACACAAATATCTGTTTGGGAATATGTATTAGAAATACACTTCTATAGACCGAATGAGTGTCGAGCAACAGTGCGATTTCGAATACCGTTAAGTATGACTTCACCCGAGTTAGGCTTCGAGCTTAATGAATTGGAAAAATTCTTGAACATATACGCATTACGAATGTTTTTGAATTTATACGCTCATGATTATATACATTTTATATATAATCATGTTTTGATTTTAGATATATAATTATTTGAAATGTTTAAAGTTTAACTATTTAAAAGTTAACTTCTAAATTAAATTTTAATTTTTAATTAATTTATATTAATTTTATTGTTACATTAATTTTATATAAATATTTTTTTATACTTCATACGTGCGTTCCTTTTTTTTAACTTCGTCGAAGTGCAAATATACCGCGTTCCCACTGCAGTGATTTACCATGTGTTTCGGCAACCTTGAACTCTGTTTGCTCACTTGAACGAAGGTGAATGTCCTAAGCACCTGCACACTTCAAACGTACGTCCGTATGAATAAAAATCTGATTCGCATGCATCTAGAGTTTAAATTGAGTTTGTCTCGACAGATTTTCGAATTAATAAACGAGTAAGCAAGCATAGATATTGTGACTTAACAATTGGTTGTATAAATGTTCTTATAATAAAATCTTACTATTACAAGAACAAAATTTCGGTTCTTAGATAAAAGAGATGCATTGTTTCTTACAACACAAACCTTTAAATTAAATTCGTTATATTTTACAAATAATAATATTATTTTAATTAAAAATATCAATATTTTTTCGTATAATGTTTGAAGAAGTTTCGACGAATGTAAATTAAAAATTGAATTCCTAGTCAGGAAGATGACGGGAGTCTGGAGGACCATTTTCGTAACCGGAGGCGCTGGTTACATCGGCAGTCATTGTATCGTCGAGCTCCTAGAGTGCGGCTACGATGTGGTGGCTATAGACAACTTTGCAAACAGCGTAACAGAAACCGACGGCGAGTCCGCGGCACTCAAAAGAGTTGAGCAAATAACAAAGAAAAAAGTTACGTTTTATAACTGCGATTTACTCGACAGAGAGAAGCTCGAGACCGTCTTTAACCAGGTATTACGTTCTCTAATTATATTATATATTATACATTCCATTTATAATGACTACTCCATTGTAATTATATGACGTAAAGTTGAAAAGAGTCAGAGAACCGTTTGTTTTTCTGGACACATGAAGAGTAATTTGTAACTTTCAGCACAAAATAGATTGCGTGATACATTTCGCGGCTATTAAAGCTGTCGGCGAATCGATGCAAGTTCCGCTTCATTATTATCGTAATAATATCATAGGAGCTATTAATCTGCTTGAGGTAAGAAGATTATATTACTCGCGTGCGCTGCTCGAATCACTTCTACAATTCGACGCGTCATTTCTTTTTCTTTTACAGGTGATGAAAGCAGCTGGCTGTTTTCAGCTTGTATTCAGTAGTTCTTGTACGGTATATGGCGAGCCTACAGAATTACCCATCACGGAAGAACATGAAACCGGTAATATTACCAATGTCTATGGACGAACAAAATATTTTATTGAAGAGATGCTTAAGGATATATCCAGAGCTGAAAAGGTTCGAAGATATAAGAAAATCTCGAATTTATATGAAATTATATCAATTTCATAAGATTAACAATTGAAATTTTATGTAAAAATAATATATTCATTATTTTTACTCATATATAAATTTATTCTAAATTATAAGAATAAATTTTTTACTTTTAGTTTTTTCTTTTAGGAAAAGTAATCATGTTATTAACATTCTAGTTAATGCGTACTATTTAATTTTTTATTAAGAATTTCTTTCATTCAACAGAGTTGGAATATTATATCTTTACGATATTTCAATCCGGTGGGTGCTCACCGATCAGGATTGATCGGAGAAGATCCGACAAAGCCATTTACAAATCTGATGCCGTATATTGCTCAAGTCGCTTTGAGGCACAAGCCAGAATTAGTCATATTCGGTGGTGATTATTCTACAAACGACGGTACAGGTATAGAAATGATAATGTTAATATCAAACGATAAATTCATCGAACGTTTTATTTAGATCACTGGTTCTATACTCACGATTTATACTTTTTCAGGTGTCCGTGATTACATTCATGTTATGGATTTGGCAGCCGGCCACGTGGCGGCATTAAATGCTTTGCACAAACAGCACCTTAGGCTAAAGATTTACAACTTAGGCACTGGCAATGGCGTAACTGTGTTGGAATTAATAAAAACGTTTGAGAAAGTCACTGGTACTACCGTGCCGTATGTTATAAAGGAGAGAAGAGAGGGCGACATCGTATCCATGTACGCTAATACAGATTTGGCGAAAAAAGAATTAGGCTGGACAGCAAAGTACAACGTTGAGCAAATGTGTAAGTAATATATTTCGGCTTGAACGCGAGTTTGAATAATCTCAAATAATCATGTTTAACGATAAAATGTTGAATACAGGTCAGGACTTCTGGACGTGGCAATCGATGAATCCACATGGTTATCGAATTTCATTAAAAAATGGAACTACTGAACACTTGAATAATACATCGTAACAACAAATTGTATCGAGAAAATTTTGCAAATAATTTATAATAAAGGATCGATACGCGTTGTCTCATAATTTACGTATTTGTAATGATCTATAGATTTATCTTACATTTTATAATTCTTCTTTACTCTCGTTTTCGTTTCTTACTTTGTCGACATTACTTTCATCTTTCTTACATTCATCCAGAATTTCATAGAGCGACAAATGTTGAAACTTCAAAATTTCTAGACCCCAACTTGTCCAACCAGGTAATAAGTATCTTGCAAAAATTTCTAGACATTTTGGTTCGTCCGGCAGATATTCCTTTATAATTTCTAAGGACGTGAACAAATTAATAAATTTTATCGTAATATATCAAATATTTTGTGGAATGTATCTCATATTTAAATGTTATATTCACACCTGTGAGTGGTGGTTTGTGTGAATGTACCGCACTAGGTACACTTATCATCAATCTGCTATCAGGGATATTTACTTTGTAATCTTTTTCCAGTGCAGACCCTAATATCAGTAATTCATAAGGTTGCTTTCCAGGTGCTGAGTTAAAATTACATATTGTGTCACCTGCTTGTGTCACCTATAATAGCAGTTATTATTTGATACTTATCACATTTATTTTCGACTTTATTAAGATATTACTTACCTTGAGCCAATACCACTTAGCTCTATAAGTAATACCCCAAGATGGAAACATTTCGTTAAAAATACTATTCAAATGGTTGGATGAATTAGTGCACCATACAGCTACAATACCGTTTGAATGTAATAGTTTTCTTATTGGTATCTTGATCAATTCCTCATTGTACATCATTTTGTAACTGTAAAGATATATAATCATGTCTCCCTAAATCTTCTCTATCTTATGCAACATAGAAACATGTTGGAATAAGACAATTTATTTATGTACATTTGACTCATTTTGGAGACACAAAACTATTTTTATTTAAATTTAGAACATGTTAAACTTATAGACTTATATTTTCTCTAAACATATTAAGATTTCGTTTAATTATGTAAATAATGTTAGATTACCAGGCTTCTGCATATTTCATCTTTTTCCTTCTGATTGATTTATTCCACCAGGGTGGATCTAGCAATATAAAATCATATTGGTTGCTCAGTTCCATTTTTTTTTCTATATCTCTTACATCATAGCAATAAAATGTACATTTTTTGGGGAATACATATTTTTTATTATGAGCCACAGATACAATAGCGTCATCAGTATCATTGGATCCATAGAGGTTCTCATTTTTGAGAGAGTAAGTATCCTGATAAAATTTCATGGATGCCAAACGTGCTACTTCATTGTTATCAAGAAAGTTATTCTGACAAAAAAGTCCTTTGTCTCTTGCAGCAGACATCATTGCAATAAATGCTTGTTTAACACGATCGACCTGTTGTATGAAAATGATTTTGAAATGAATACTACAGGAAATAAAATGTAATTCTTATTCATTAATATTTTAAAAGTCATATTTTAAAACATGAATTGAATATTAAATTTCTGAACCTACTTCCTCCAAGTCTTTTTTTGGCAATTGCTGTGAACGCTTCCTCTTTTTTCTATTGTGTATTATAGCACTATTCTGGGACTCCTGGACGGTCTGAACTATTTGATTTGGCCTCAAATATTGAGAATTGATCTCGAATATCATTTTGTTGAAGCCTAAAGCGCAAAATCCATCTTCGTTTTGGACTTTCTTGTATATCTCATTGAGATACTCCAAGTGAGAGATAATCCAGCCTTCTTCACTGATATGAAGAAGACTCATATTTGGCCTCAGAGATCACAGGAAGGCTATGCTCGACATTCAAATCTACTATTGTATCAATCTGTTTAAATCTGTACGTAAATCATCAATCCAGTTAGAATGAAATATGTGATTATAAATACACATATATACACATATGTTTGATGTTGTAAATATGAATATATGCATATTTCACTTTTCAATTCTCATGTATGTACAAACGATATATTGCGAATATATATTGCGAAGATATATTGCGTATGCGTCAGATCCGCTAGATTGATTCAAAAAGCCTGTACTGCCTGTAATGCGCAATTTGCATGCAAATTCAATTCTTTGACATTACTGCATATTACTGGTCGCTATAACAATCGCCATTTGCCGGCATCACTTGCTTCTTATCACACTTTTCTGGCGAAAAAAATTTCGCGCATGCGTGATGGCGCGAATCTGCGCAACTTTCACTTACACATAGACCGTTCCAACAGGCTCGTATCTAAAATCAAAAGGCAGGGGTGCATTTTGGGGCGCCATAATCACATTTTATGCTCCTTTCTACTAATGTGTAGATTAACTATCTTGGTTTAATTTAATTTTCATCTTTCTTTATTCATGAAAATGAGAAAAAGATAAAGAGTAAATTAAACCGAGATTAAATTTAATCTACATTGATAGAAATGAACGTATTATAGTGACAAGCGATTAAATTAATAGGCGACTAACTTAGACAGGATTGCATATTGTACAATTTTTAATTATATAATTTGTTATCGCTGATTTAATTCTTCTTTCCATTAAACAAAGAAAAATTAATTATTCCGTTTAGATGAACAAAACGGCACAAAGATTGATATCTGATAAATTAAAATAATCGCTAATTAAGCTAATTCAATCGAAGTTTGATCAAAACTTCGGACGCTGTTCTTTTTCTATGGATACTTTTCCCATCTGAGTGTCACTTAGATATCATTTTATTCTCATTGTTCACCGGACATTCATTAAACAAAAATAAAATAACAGTAATGATTCTGAGGAATACCTCGAGTGGGAATCTCTGAATACGCCCAACAATGGGTGCCATTTATTTCGCGAGCCTAAATACGCCACTGAAAGTTCTCCCACCCTCCCTGTTTCCTGATTTGTTACAGTTCGATACAAACGACGACGGATATAGTTGAAGATAGTTAAGAGTTGATGGACGCGTGCTTCTTAACGAAGCAACAGTGATATACTTTTGTTTTATCGTGAAATTACACATTCCACGACACTATGGTCTTACTAGGCGAAGTGTTTCCAGACTTCACAGCGGATACCCAGATGGGCACGATCAGATTTCACGAATGGCTGGGCGATTCGTAAGGCATTCTGTAATATTTGTAACCTAGACAGACACTCTGTCGTCATGTGATCCTGTAGAATAGTGTAGAAAAGAAACTTAATTATTGGCGATATGCGTTACGAACTGAAATATTCATAAATACGATCGAAATGTTGTAAATACAAGTACTTGAGACATTACTACTTTGTTCATTTGTTGTGCTTTATCACATGACGTGAAATGTATTTAATTTATGTATATAATGTGTATTAAAATGTACACACATATATATGATATTTTACATTTGTTTACAATAAATTTATGATGTATGCATAATTATTAAATTACACGATTTTCAGTTCAGTTTATTCATAATTCAGTTTGTATAAAATACTTGTCTGAAATATACAGGTGGGGTATCTTATTTTCACATCCAAATGACTTCACACCAGTCTGCACAACCGAGTTGGCACGAGTTGTAAAACTAATGCCTGAATTCAAGAGATTGAGTGTGAAAGTGATAGCATTATCCTGTAATTCAGTCGACTCCCATCGTAAATGGATAGAGGTTTGCTCGCAGCGAATTCAGTCACTTGCATTACACTAGATTAGTACATACTAAAAGCCGCTAGATGTGAAATTGATAAAGTAATGTTAAATGTAAGAGAACATACAAATATCTTAAATGATTAAATATCCAACAATGATATTGTCATGTTATTTAGTAGAATATATATGTATTTTATTATCAAAATTGATTATACTGACACTACATTTAAATGCTTTATAAAAAGCAGCTTTTAAAACTAATCCAGTGTAGTCAACATAAGTTCTTTTAAATAAATGCATTTGATCTAGGATGTTTTCCAACAAGAACTAGATGATACAGTGTAAGATATTGAATCATTACATCTCTGCTGTTTGCTAATGTGAAAGATAAAGTAATTATCACTGTATTACACTACTTCTCTTGCTGGAAAGCACTAATAACTTCACTTTGATAAAATTTAATATCAGATTTAATAAGTTTCTCTCATATATTTATATCAGTATTATTAAATAAAACGTTATTCTAGGATATAAAGAGTTACGGTGAGGTAACGGGCGAAGAGTTTCCATATCCGATAATAGAAGATCAAGCCAGAAAGCTAGCCACATTATTGGGAATGTTGGATCCCGCCGAGGTCGATAGTCAGACTGGATTACCCATGTCAGCACGAGCTGTGTTTATAATTGACCCAGCCAAAAAGATGCGATTGTCAATTTTATACCCAGCCACTACCGGTCGTAATTTCGAGTGAGAAACGTTTCACATTTCGTTAAATATCATTATTTATTGCTTGTATAAATATAAGATCACTAAAATTTCGTATTTTGCATTGCAGCGAAATAATAAGGATAATTGAATCCCTTCAGCTCACGCAAAAGTACAAAGTAGCGACTCCTGTAGATTGGAAAGTAGGTTCAGGTTTGAGAAAATAAAATTTCACTTAGATTTTCAAGTGATAATTTTTCCGCTGTTTATAATTAAATATCGAGAAAACATATCATTGATGATTTAACACGTTAATTTTTACATATATTTTATACGACATTTTAGAAAGGAGACGACGTAATGATTGATCCGAGTGTATCAGACAGTGAAGCCAAATCTTCCTATAACAATATCAAAACTGTGATGTTACCTTCTGGTAAAACATATATGCGTATTGTGCCACAACCTCTAGATGCATAAAAAAAATTCGATGTACAGAAAGATTCTAATAAAATTCAAGCTGCACAAATCACATAACGATTTTGTTTGCATAAAATATATATTATTTTATAAAATCAATCATTCAACGTTTTTCTTTATCATTTTTAATTATTTAAATAAAGACACCTATTCCATGTCTTTATTTAAATAATTTTCTCTATCTATCCTAAAATTATTTAATAGATAATTTAAGCCTAATTTAATCTTTTTTTTTTTTCATGTAAATATAAAATAAGAGATTCGAATCCTTGGTATTTG